ACACACACACACACAGATGACGACAGCCTCCCTCGCACACATTCTCCCATACAGTATGTGCAGACATCCACTCTGCAGTTTGACCACAAACTATCACTGACTCACACACGGTTATGCACCTGAACAGCCAAAGACTCACATCTCCACCTTTCTTACCCTCTCCTCTTTAATGTGACACAATGCAGCGTGTCTTCGACTGCGTGATTGCTTTTGCTTCTCTGTTCTTTGTCACGGCTCGCTGTGTGAAACCACATGTGCTTACAGAGACACACCCTGATTGCAGCACATTCAGCCGTCAGCCAGCAAGTAAATAGTGAGAAAGAGAGGGGACTTGAGAATGAAGTTGTATATAACGGGGAGGGATAGAGAGGATTTGGAGAGAGAGGTGGATGAAACAAACAGCGAGATGGAGTTAGAGGAGAGGGGATTTGGACAAAGAGGGGGAGGGTTGGATGGATGTAGAGATGGATTTGGAATAAGAGGAGCGGAAAATCAGATGAAGAAAAACAGGAGGTATGATGGGTGGGTGACTGAAGGAGAGAGAGGGTTAAGTGAAGGAGAGATGGCCTCTTTTATTTTCAGACGGTCCGGCTGTCTGGCGATAACACATTCACCGAGACCAGTCACAGAACATCACATTGGCTTCACCTGCCAGTGCTGCCCTGCTGCTCTCTTGTCAAGCCTGCCACAGACCAGTGGTTCACACACACACACACACGCACATGCAAACACACACACACAGTTCATACTCTCACTTTCTAAAGCTGTCCTGCAGACTGAGCCTGCCACTCTTGGACAGTAATAAGATTCAGATCCGGCTCCTCCGCCAGTTCACCGTATGGGTTTTCCTATAATGACATTCTGAGGGAGATTGAGTTTGCTTTTGTAAAACAGAGGGCTTGAATCAGCAGTGAGAGAGCCCGGGTGCCGCTGCCACTCTACATTTGCTGCATATGCATTACTTCCCCTTAAACTTTACTCTAAGGGCCCTGATGCACAGCGAGACCTTGTATAGCCAGTCTGTCCCAGCCGAGATTAGCAAGTTTCTCTGGGTCGGACATAAAATCTCAGTATTCAGAGCACGCTGCAAGGGATTTGAGCTGTTAGCTCAGTTTGATATGAAGTGAGGTTTGTTCTGTAAGCTCCCCTGGGAGTTGTGTACCATTATCTTAAAATGGAACTCTGCAGAACTACATTGGTCCTTTTGCGAAAAGGTTATTTCATGCTAACAGCTGGTTTGTTTGTTTTGTTATGTGCAGGAGATTCTGCAGCCTCCTTTGCTGAGAGGAGCGTAGGGATATAGTTGTTCCATACTGTAGAGCAGGATGACATCATCCACACTGAAATGTGACCAAAATTGCAGTCGAATTCTAGAGGTGTTCTCTACAGAACAGTCTACAGAAACATACAACCTCAACACCACACATGCCATTTTAAAGTCTCTGGAGGAAGAAAATGTTATGAAAACAAAGCTGCATCTGGATTCTAATTTATTCAAAGATCAATGAATCTCAACTCAGTACGCAGAACCCTGAACTGGAAAATCAGCTGTTGCCTTGTCTTGAACGAGCTGTTGTTGTGATTGACAACATCACTTTAGTGGGTGAGTCCCAGATGCAACAGATTTTATTTTATCTGATCTTAAAGTTTATTGATATTGAACATATCAAGTGTATAAATCACACCAAACTCAACACTGTATTTTCTCGGGCCCTTAACAATACTCATGAAGTATGAAGTGTAAGGCCGACAAGATGAGCGGTTGTGGAGATATGTGACAGACAGAGATTTCTGGAATTAGTAGATGATACAAGTGAAAAATTAAGCACAGGAGACAGTTACTAATACTTTCTTTCACTTTCTCCACCTGTTGTCTTTGACTTGCACCTATTTAATTAGTGATACAGCCTCTGCAATCTGCACAGAGAATTATAAATTGGATGTTTCAATGCAGTGTTACATCATATAAAGAAAAATATTGAGTTATTATCTTTAATATTAAAATACATTGCATCAATACATCACACAGTGTTATCACATTTTTTTCAGACTACCCCAGATACTAATACTGAACTCAGACACACAAACTGAGAAAGTTGAAGTAGGTTAGATTACTGTGAATTTAAATGAAGATGGCAGAACGGGGCAGGCAGGGGCGGCGAGAGCAGAACCAGGGTAGGTAATGGCGTGTGACAGGGATCTTCTGATTCAGGAGGCAGACCATAGAAAGGGGGAGCATCAATCCGAGACAGAAGGAGAACAAAGGTTTGCCAGGCTAAACTCAAACATGAGGAAAATATTTAGAACCTGATTTCTCAGGCGGTTCGGCTATAACGCTATAACCCCCTCCCCCCCAGAAATGTATAGTTGTCATAAATATTCATGTCATTTGACTAGTTTAAAGCACCGTTGGCAGCAATGACAATGACTTGCCTTCTTAGAAATGATCCTATAATCTTGGCACACTTTTGCTCCAAGCTTGGCCAGGTTACATTCGGAGCATCGCACAGTCATTTTCACGTCTTTCCAGAGATGCTCTGTTGGGTTCAGGCCAGGACTCTGGTCCGGCCTGCAGGACAGACTTCTCTTGAAGATATTCCACTGACTTTGGGTCATTACATATTGTATGTTGAAATGTTTACCATCCCTCTAACCTAACCCCTGAGCACGATGTTTTTCTGCATTAATTTTTCCTTCTATCCTGACTAATCTCCCAGTTCCTGCCTCAGAAAAATATCCCGATAATATGATGCTGCCCACCCCCTGTGTCTGACTGGAAGGGTGGTATTAATGAGGTGATGCTCAGTGCCTCATCAACACATCAGCTTTAACTATCGTTTATCTTTGAAACAAGAACCTATCTAATCTTGGATACAGATAGTTTGTACATCACATGTCTCCTCTAAAGTTACCAGCAACAGTGTCCCGTGATCATATGACAATTACAACAATGTTAGCAAGATTTCACACAAGTTAGGCCTCTGGAATGACTTCCACAATTGTGAAGAGGACCCTATAAAAGTAAATGGTATACAGGTCTGCCCCAGATGAGTGTATGCCTTTATTCACTTTGTTCAAGCAATTCTTAAAGTATAGTCAATTCAAATCAAGTTATACAAGCATCTTGATGACCAATAGTGAAGTAAAATGCACCAAAGCTCAACAGCACATGCAATTGTCTTCTACTTGTTTTTACTTAATATGAAGCATTGTGTGTAGACTGATATGAAAAATAATACATTGAATGCATTCTAAGATTTAAGAGACAAAAACTTGAAAGGGTGTGAAACCTTTATATTATACACCAACAGTAGAGCTACATGATATGAGAAGAGGTTCAATCAGTCTCACTGTGCCCATGACCTGACATTATCATACATTATGTAGTTCAACTGACCAATAACACATTTGAAGTTGTGGTCAGACACAGAAACTGAGAAAGTTGCTGTAAATGGTTTCTTTGCACAGTTTTTTGATGTTAACAAGTTATAGCCACTTGGAGTTTTTCTGTCATTGCTGGCGTTGGCCCAACAAAAGATCCAACATATCCAAGCAGAAAGACAAAGAACTGAAAGCTCATCAGCATCACTCAGTCATGTCCCACCTCATGATGGACTCTCTGACATCTCTGAACGGCAGTGCTGATGTTGTCTCTACGTCTTGTTCAGAGATGGAAGTTTTGCTTTCTTAGTATGCCTTCCTGCTTCTGGGCAATAAATCTTTTTCCTTTCCCTTTTGTTTTTCTGCTGATGAAGTTAGAGTTTCTCATTTCTGGTCTTTCTGTATTCAGACATAGGAGCTGTATATAATTTATTTTCACTATTGTGCTTCTAGAAACACCTAACGTTGAGATAGGTGTTTCTCCAGAGAAAGATATATCTGTGGATTTGCTATTATCATCAGCATTTTCGAAGTTGGGCACCGGATGATCCATCTTTGTTTAACAGCAGAGAAATAGGCTGAATTACAATTTACACTCTCTCCACCGGTTCTCATGTTCATGCTGTTTTTAAGCTGTATAGTTATTCTAGATTAAATGATCGGTGCACTTTGGTGAACCTTTACCACCTCCAATCAATACAGGTTGTCGAAAACCAAACTGACTAGTTGGCAGGAACATTTTGTTTGCAAATATTTGGTTCTTTTGAGGAGCACACCTAGCTCATTTGTAGCGACTGTGATGAGTTTCAGTAAGCACTTGTCCCCAAATATTAAACAATTACCCATTAATTGACATGCTACAATGTGAAGATAATGTATTTTGTTTGCATTTTGAGTTAATCATTTAATTTCTTAACCAAGCAGTGGATCACAGCTCCAGTTTCACTGGAATACACAGTGGCAGTAATGAAAACACAATTTGTTGTGTAATTTAACTGTAATGTAACTGTCATTGTATTTTCCAAGATAAAGATATTTATGTTGGAAAAGCCACAAAGCTCTGATCACTAATTAGCAACATAGTGCAGTATCTGTTCTGAACCTGCCTGCATGGAATGGGCTGTTTACTTGGGCTGTAATTATGCTGCATGGTGACAGCTTTCTTTCCGAAACTGATAACGCGACCTGCAGTTATTGAGCCAGAGCAATTAAAGACCTGCTGTGACTCAGTCTGCTGAACCATGGACATGCACAAAGATCTGTTCACCTGTTTATTCAATGTTCAGTAAAGCTCGGCTCAGTACACAGAAACGATTTTTTAGAGTCAGTTGTGGTTGCTGTTGTCATGATTAGGAACTTGATGGTTGATGAGTCCCAGCCACGGCTGGTACAGAGCGCTGGTCGTCTGTTTACCCAAAGTTTGTGTCGAACGTCCACATTTCACCAAAATTCCGCACTGCACTTCCTCTTCCCCTCAATAATATACACACCGAGTGTGAAACAGATAAGATGAACGGTTCTTGAGATATGTGAGTCACAGACAGAGCGACAGATGTGTCTGGAACTACCAGAGTGAAAATCACATTTCAGTGTTCATTTGTGTCAAAGTCACAATTCTTACTCCAACAACACATTTTAAACAGTTGTAATAACAGTTCCAACACAGGGATTCCAGGAGGTTTACAGACAGCAGCTCTCAAGGTTACAGTAGAAGCAATAATAACCACAGGGACTGATGGTTTCTCTCATGACTGAAGGCTACACCTGTGTGACGTTATTGTAAGAGAAATGTCAGTGTCAGCAGAGAGAGAGAGGGAGAGAGAGAGAGAGAGAGAAAGAGAGAGGCTAATGACTGATGGCACTTCTGGGCTCCATGCTGTGATTGAGACAGGTGTCGGTACAGTAGCTGCAAGAAAACTATTTTCTTTTGCTGTAATTAAAGGATTTATATTAAAAGGAATCTGCTGAGAAACAGGGATCTCCAGCCAAATCAAATTTTAAAATATATAACTGCAATCTCTTGAATAAAAACTTTCATTGTTTTTATACAATGTAGTGATGTTATTTCATCCATCAGCAGCCAGATCTAGTATAAGTGGTGCAACCTGAGCAAGCTGTGTGTCAGGCTTGTTTGTTTGCCCACAGGCTGTTTGGTCTATTTTATTGAGGTCTACACGTTCACTTAAACCAGACTTTTCATACTTATTATTCCTCTAGAGAAATATAGTGTCAGCTCTCAGGAGACCGGTAACTGTCTGTAAGGCAGTCGCACAATTTCCTTTCACTCAGTCGGTTGGCTATGACCATGTCCATCATCTGCTGAATGTTTCTGCTTCTTTGAAAACTGCTCATCATAAAAGTCTCTTCGCTGCTCACGTCCTAAATGTGTGAGGTTTTTCAGTCGCGTTTTGCCTCAACTGATGTGTTGATCTCAGACAGACCTCTGCTGCAAATGAGTTGTCAAGCCTACAGGTCGCTGCGAAGATTTGGCTTTATTTCCTGATTCTCTAGTGTGCATTTATTGACAAGGAGGAGGAACAGGATACAAGAATGTTTTTGTTTTTTATTAGAGCACTGAGAGAGAAAGAGAAGTAGGATAATGTATGGGGCAACGATGCCTTTCCTCAGGGCTGTCAGGGCTTTATATGCTCCCCGTCACGCCGCTCTGCTCCGTCTGATGACTTCATGGCCCTGAAATAGAGGTTTTCATCAGCAGAGACCTCCCTTGTCCACTAAACGATAAGACAGACAGTCATTTCGTTATGATTGCTGGGCATTGCTCTGTAATCAATTTCAATGTTTTGGCCTAAGTGATGTAATGTGGTGGTGGTGGTGGGGGTGACATTAAAAGGCTGTTTTCAACAAGATGTCCTCACTCCTCATGTTATCTTCCTCTCTCTCTCTCTCTCTCTCTAACTCTTACTCCAGGATAATTTCCCTGCAGGAAACCCAGAGCGACTCCAAGATCTGAAATCCACTGTCGATCTGCTAACCAGCATCACCTTCTTCAGGATGAAGGTATAGTCTGTGTGTGCATGTGTACGTGAGACAGAAAAACTCTAAGTTTCAGGAGCAGGTAACAGTTTGAAGAGCAATAAAGCGTTACAGTGACCTGTCCCACTTTTAGAACAGCTCTGGTTCCGATTGTAAATTTCCAATTTATTTTCAGTTTAAAAGAAGTTTATTGCTTGGAACCAGACCGACCAGCTTCAAGTTGATTCATGACCATTTGATATAAAATATTTGAAAACAAAAAAAAGAGTGCACAAAACTATTTATTTTGTTATTTTAAGAGTGAAGGAACTACCAGACCATAAACCATTGCAAATCATCTTTTTCCAACAACATCCAGAGCATTTTCCTTTAATTTAACTTTGTTGTCAATACAGTGTTGCAATATATTTAAGTTTGTATCATGTATGTGTGTATATAGTGTTTCATATAGAATCCTACTGTAGTAACGCCAAACGACCAGAACATAGGAGACATGGCTTTTCGTGGTTTCGCTAAATACTTCCATGTCAACAGAGACCTCCACCATTCAGAGATGTTACTACTTCACTTATTATATACATATACTTATATCACGTATTGTGGCATAGTGTAGTACTACCTCTTGACAAAACAATAAAACATTCTTAAAACGCAGTTATATCATATGAACTTGTGGCTTCTAAAGGAGTATATGAGATTGTTTTTCAATCTAGTAACTTGAGATAAATCTACATTTGATGTTTACAAGAACATTATGGCTGATGATCAAAATCGCTCTTAAGAAATAAATTGGATATTTACTTGTTAAGCTCTACAGGGGAGCAATTCAGTTAAAGAGAAACTAAAGAAAACAACATTGCAATAAATAATGTTACACCACAGTGAGTACTGTAGCTTCCTGATGTAGATGCCAATCATATGGTTTCATCACAGAAGTGCGACGCCATCGACTGACTGATACACCGTCAATACACAATGACCGTAAAATCTGCCACTGTTCGATTACAAACATAAACCCAGATTGATTTTTGCCATGTTTTTATACACACTCATAATTCATGGAAACCCCCCACTCCCACTTCCCCAACGCCATTAACCATCCAAATGATTTATTACTCTACAATTTCTCGACAACAGGCTAATGCATCTGGGTTGTGTTTGTGTGATGTATGTTGACTTGCATACAATAGTAGGCCTCTATGTTCCAAATGCTTCCAGCTCTGTCTTGTCTCCTCTCCCCCTCGCCGTCTCCCACTACATGTAAAGCTTGACTCCATTCAGTTCTTTTGGAGGAGGAGGCAGTGTGGAGGGGCATAGCACTGGCGCACTGAGGCATAACTAAGATGGCAGCTGTGAGCAAAGGAATGAAAACTGTCACTGTAGGTTACCAAGGCTTTCACTCTGTGTCATGCCCATGCTGGGCTCTACTGTGTATATGCATCATTGCACATACACAGGAGCTACAGCGACTGTTCAGTATACAATACAATGAACATACACCTAAAGTTCCACTCTGGCCCCATGTCTGCTTTGGTATACAGAATATATGAAGGTTGATATTTTTATCCACACATATTTCAAACATGTAATATGATATCATTACATTATCACTTGATTGATGGATGCTACTGTACAAAGAAATACAGTTAAGATAAAGTAGCAGCCATTGAAGTAGGTTGCTGTGGTGGCAGTATTCTAATTTGTCCTGCCACAGTTTTATAATGGACAAAAACACGTTGATACTTCCCGAGACCTCTAATTATGCTGCATTGTATAACTGTCTGCAGAGCGATTTGTCACATGCTTGCGCTATCTTCCATAAAGACTTTACTGCCCACATAGACAGTCACACCTCATAGTTTCAGCTGCGGCTGTGCACATGACTGGCAAGTGGTTATTCTCTGTGCCTGTGTCTCAGAATCTTTTGCGCATGAGAGTTACCTTCATGCACATGCACCCCCACTACAGCCATAGATTGAATTAATTCTGAGGGTACAACTTCTGTTGTACAGTATAAACAGCTGTAAGGCCAAGGTGAGCACCTAACCCTGAGTTCAACACTGTTTTTGTGTCTGTGCAGGTACAAGAGCTCCAGAGTCCACCACGAGCCAGTATGGTGGTGAAGGACTGCGTGAAAGCATGCCTGGACTCGACGTACAAATACATTTTTGATAACTGTCATGAACTGTACAATCAACTCCTCGACCAGGTAAAGAGCTTCCACATTTGATTATATATCGCTGCCTCTCTGCCTTTTCCATTTCATGAATGTATGACTTTTGTTACACTGGTGAACATAAAGACTCTACAAGAGCAACTTGTTTGTTATGCACAGAGTGAACAGCTGCCAAAGCCTTGAGATCTTTATATTTCTCACATTACATCATGCAAATGTAGTGATGTACACAGTAAACAATGTGTTACTTCAGCAGTTAAAGTTTTCTCAGGGGCCTGGTTCAGTTTGCTGTCAGCTACACTGTAATTACATGGGTTTCTACTGCAGCACCAGAGCAGGGGTTAGCTGTACTGTGATACTTGATGATCTTTTTCAACACACGATGGTCTCCCCCTCAGCTCTGTGGCCATGCCAGTGACTAGAGAGACTGTTTTGTTTTGTAAGTCTCACACTGGGCCAGCGTGACAAACTCAGCTAACAGTAAAATCCTATGAATAATTCCTTACTTGGTTTTACTTGTCTTCTATATCAAAACCGTAGTGTCTAGTCAAAGTATTCACAGATACAATTCAGAGAAACGCATGTGATGCGAAGCTGGTAAGGTTGATGATGAAGATGGTAGCTGGAGGAGGTTTGATGTTGGTTGTGTTGCTTGCGGTTTAATCACAATGACAAAGTATACAAAAGCATGTGAATCTAAACTTGATGAACACTAGGTGCTGGACAGAAGCATTTATTATTCATGTTTTCGTCACTTATTTATTATTTGGGTAGTTACATCATCTGTCATATGACCTCTAAGTGCAGGTTTATGGTGTCTCTTCTTTTTTTTGTCTGAAGAAGAGCTTTTAACCAAAGTGTTACCTACATGATGAAATAGTTTGTGGGAGCATTACTGGTGTTTGGACATTTCTCATCTTCTGGTTTTAATGTAAATGAGCCCTGCTACATGGTTCTCGTGTTGGACTTCACAAACTTGATCCTTCTATCGCGCAGTTCAGATGCATGGCTCTCAAAATCAGAATAATTAGACCAGATAACCGATGTTAAATGTAGTTTGGATTAACTTAATGATGATCTTAAATTCTTGACAAAGAAAACCTGGAAACCTGCCTTTAGTTTTCGGTTGTATTTCAAATTGAACACAGTTACTAGTTCAGAGCCACTCTACCTTTTTCCAGAAATTCAAAGTGAAAAAAACTTTGTTAAAATTTTTGATAGGTGCGGAAGCTGTTATTCCCTTTCTCACCTCATGTGCTAATATGGTATCACCTTCATCTTGTCATAAATCTCACATCACACAGCTTTAGTGTGTTTTGTGTTGATGTGTGACAGTGCCAAGAAAATATAAATTCAATCCAGCATGACTGGAAATCAATAGGCTATATATCATGACTGACGTTTCCCCGACAGTGAAAATGTTGCAGACTCTGCATGAAGGACTTCAACCTTCAAAGAAAGAGACTCCACGGTGAAAAGATAAAGCAGCCAAACGTCAGGCAGAACTTACCTGATGCTGGTTGTCAAATTGAGTAGTTACAGACAAATGATTATTATATTTCAGAAAGTATAACTCACAAAATATGTCTTGCAAATTGCAAAAGAAGAATCCTAATTCTCCTGAACAAGAAGTTACTGCATGTTTACAATCTGGTGGACAAACTAATTTACGGACTGATTAAGGTTAGTCTATAGGAAGGAACATTAGCTTAAAACGTGAAAGAGGCATCATATTTGGGGTTTTTATAGCCCAAAATATTTTCTTCCTAGGGTTAGCTTCATAGCTAACTAGCTGACTGTCATTGGCTTACTGCTCCATATCTTGTTGGCAGCTCTGCCATGTGAATGCCCAGGGGGCGTATTGCTCTTAAAAGCATAGTACCATTATCCACTCACCACTATGCTGATGGAGGGGTGGGTGAAGTGTTAGAGTCCACAAAACACTTTTGGAGGCGCAGGGGTAAACAGAAAAAACATACTCCATGCTGCTTGTGTGGTGTCATCCAAGTGTGTTCGGACATTCATACTTGACTCCAAATGGCATCATTTACACTATGTTATAAGCCTTAATGTTTTCTGATATCCTCCTCGGAGACGCGTTCACATTCTCACGGACACACAGGAAAACCGCAAACACTCTCTCTTGTCCAAGTTCATGTGGTCGTGAACTTAGACTAAAAACATGGTGTAAATGACACCATTTCAAGTCTAATATGAATGTCAGGCCTTATGGACACTCGGACGACACCACACGAGCAGTATGAAGGCATGTTAGGCTTTTTTACATCTGAAGAAGTGTTCACTTTGGCTGAAACCCTGTTTACCCCTGAGACTCCAGAAAGAAGAAATCCAGTAAGTAGATAATGAGTGAATTTTCATTTTCTGATTAACTATCCTTTTAAAATGAGCTGTCCGTGGGTCCATTGCAACATTCTTATCTTGAGGCAGCGATTGCTTGATTGACCAGCACAAACCTGAAATTATTATACCTGAATTCAATCTGAAATAATTTCAGCTCTACATTCTCCAAATAGGAATATACGCCTACATAAGTGACAAGTAGCAACCTTGGACTTTGAAATGCTCTAAATTCCCATGAACCTCGAGCTTAGATCAGTAAAATGGAGCCCAATATCTTAAGGTTGTAATTGGGTGTAATCCACTCAAAAGCTGAATAATAGGCTTCCTGTGTTTAAACAGCCTGAGGCGTTGTAAGAAATTACCAAACCGCCGAGATAGACACTTTCACTAATTACATCTTTGTCCACCACAGTTTCACAGTAGACAGCCTCTCCATCAGTTTTCCTCCAAGGCAGAAGACGGCAGCTTCACCCCAAAGCAAACCTCACAGTGGCTTTAAATTATTACGTTCACGTACACTAGGTAGCCTTTGACTCAGAGGATAGAACCCATTTCAGACCCCAATTCTCCAGTTGCTAATAATGACTGAGTGCGGCGACAGAACAGCTGACACGGTGGCCAGGCAGGCGGTGAAATCTCCCAGCCACAGCGAGGCATCTTGCGTAACATGACAACACAGCTCTCTACTGCTTCTGCCTGGGCATAAAATGACTAAAAGGAGAGGGGGTGGGGGTGGGCAGGGGGAAATGTAGCTTAACAGTTTCTTAAATCCAAGCAAGAGAGAAGGGATTTTGAGCTGTAAGAAGAAGCAGGAATGGAAAGAGGTCAAACACATCATGGGAAAGGGCAGAAGGGAAAAACGACTATCATTTTCTTCTGGCTCATCCAGTGTGAAGGAATATGGAGTGACGATGGTGCGCAGGATAGAAATAATCCACCTGCACCTATGCGAAAATGCACATATATATATGCAGACTTGATTATACATTATGCAAATATGAATGCATAAGTAGAAGCAATCTGGTTTTGAAGAGGGAGGTTTGTGATCGCTGGCAGGTGCACATATGCAGGAATCCACTGTGCCTGTTTGTGAGGGAGCCACAGAGGAGTTAGGAGACAACTGCACTTGTTCTGAGCAAGCAATTCAAATTGATTTGTTAAGTATCTCTCTCACTGACATTATCTCATATTTGCCAACAATACCCATGTGGTCGATTTAGCTGCGTTTGAAGAAGGTACTTTTCTTTTTTTCTTTTTGTCTTTAAGTGTTATTTTCCATACATGTGTACACATACAACCGATTTTCAATGCGCCTGAATATTCCATTGCAACAGCCTCAGTTCCACCCACAGCTCTCTCTTTGGGGAATTGGTCCCATTCTCAGAGAGCATCCTTCAATCAGAGACTATGTTTGTATCACATTGTGAAAATTGATGAAGAGCCAGTCATATGCTAATGCCGATTTCTCCCACACAGGGACTGAAAGTACCAAACAATAAACGTAAACCACCAGCTACCCTCTAGAGAAGAGATGTGTTGCATGAATATTTCTGCTGGTCCCCCTCATCACTTTGTTCACTGGAAGGAGCAGAACGACACTGCACTCTTAGCTCAGTACAGATTTCAGCTCCTAATACAACTGAGGGTGAAGCCCATGGGTTGTTCACTGTAAGAAGACAGCAGGCTTTGTAATCACCTTAAAAATGTGTTTACACCAACCTGAGGTGAATACAGATAAGCAAGGGGAGTCGATGCACGTTTTAGTGAGACGCATACTGCATCCAGTTTAGTATGGACACAACCTTCAGTGTCCTTCATACATACATACAGTTATGCACGCGCACACACACACACACACACACACACACACAGACAGGTTTTGCAAAGCCAACCGACCTCCTGCAGAGACATTTGTTTTATTATTCATGTGACCAATTTAACAGAACTTTACCTTGCTGCATACCCCACCCCACATGGCCCAGGATTCTCATACCAGGCTTCTCTCTTTGAAGTAGGTATCACTATTCTAATTTCATAAACTCTGAGTTAGCGGTCAAAATGGATTGAAGGCCTGTTTCTTCTCTATCTTTGATCTAAACTCATAAATTGCTAATTTCTTTTTAGTGGTAATCACTTGTTAATCTCTCAGTATTTTGAATTTGAATGTGATTAATGTACCAAGCAAATCTGTCTTTGGGGTTTCTTCTCTTGATTGATGATCACTCTGCAAGGCGAGTTTATTTATATAGCTCAAAATTGCTTTTACAAATTCATGGAAATACAGAGACAATTTGACATTAAATATAAAAGAATTAAAATAACATTCAAAAAACAATAAAAACAAGGCCAGTCAAGTGTTTCACAGAGACACGGAATCAGTTATAAACAAAAGAATAAGAAAACACTCAAATTGCATTTCTGCAACTAAAGATTAAAATGCAAAGATTAAAAACTTTTTGATAAACAATATCATATTTGGAGGGCTTTAAAATATATATATTTAGATCATATAACATAAAAAAGTCGCCCGGGCTGTTGAATGCAGCACTGAGATCCACTAAAACCAAAACAAAATTTTGACATGACTACTCAGATGAATGTCATTTAAATCCTAAGTAAGTGGAGGTTCAGTGCTCTGATGGACCTCAGAATGCAGACTGAAAAGCATTAAAGAAAAGGTTTTGCACTGAGAAAGAGTTAAGATGCTGAAAGAAGTCTTTTCATTGATCTTTTCTCAAAAGAGAAAACCTTTTTTAATAAGGTTTAATAACAGCTGCCTTCAGGGCTCTTGAAAAAAGGCCTGACTGAAGAGAACTATTGACTATCTGTAGAACATCTAACTCAATGCATTTAGAAACATTTTTAAAGACGATGGCAGAAAGTCAAGGCCACAGGTCGTCAGCCTAAGGTGCTGAGTAGTTTTTGTGCTGGCTGCATTATCTCGGGGGTTCAAATGTGCCAAATGAGTCAAAATGTGAGGGTCAGTTTACCTGAGATGGAGTTTCAGATTGTTAGTTGACTTGTCGGCTCTTCTTCAGCTATAGGAGCACATAATGTGTCGATAATTCACTCTGTTTTGAACGCATGTAATCCCAGGTGCAAACATGTGTCCATCTTAAACTGCCCAACACCTTCTGCTTAACATGAAGCTCAGACCACCACCCTGTTACCTTCATATTGGAAAGCAGTGCATCTTTCATGTATTGCAACACAGCAAACATAACTGAAAACAGGAATAAGAAATTCACGAGTGTATTTAATATGATGATATTAGATTTCACCTCCATTGGAAGACACCAGTTCCTGGAAAAGTATTAATCTCTTTCTATGACTATGGCACACAACTTGATAGACGTTTGCATATTTCATCAAATGATTAAACTAGTGAACCATGGGTCGACATGATCAGCTGTCACTGAATCAGATGTAATCCCTCTCTGTGTTTCTTGTTCCTGTGAGATTAAATTCAGCGGCTTCTTCTGCTGCAATGTCTGCAAGACATGCAACAGCATTACATGCTCTGCATCAACGACGTCACCAGACACGAGTTGATTATTGTAGGGATTGATTAGACTAGAAGGATTGTATTGAGAATACATTGATTCATGTTGCATTTTCATTTCCCCAGCTCCTCCTACAATGACTCCTCTCTGTGCTGCACCACAGTCAATACACTGAAGGTTGTTAAATAATTCAACCTAACTGATTTGAGCATGTTTCATTTTAAACACAGTTTTAATCTGAAATGGATTTTGCTCCAGTCAGGATTACATACAGAAATGAGAAAACTGTGGATTGTAGCCTCCTTTTTGGAGGTAGGCCCCACAGTCATAGTTTATATTTGCTGCTGTCAGTGTGAATAAGCGTGGGTGTATTTATGTAAAATCGTGTCTCCGTATGATAAAGAGCCGTCAGAATTTTACAGTATCCACCCTCACTCAGTTTCTGTGTGCGGGGCAGAGTGAAAGGCCCTGACAGTGACTTGCTGACTGCAGATCAGTATGGTCGCACCCAGTGTGGGGTGAACAGATGGTGGAGTCAGTAAGTGGTTTGAGAGTCGACACCTCTCACCTCGGGGCTGCAACAAGGATTTTCTGCAACACTCTGCATAGACAGATTACTGAAGAGTGATGATGTTTTTAAAATTACTTTAGGATTTTAGTCCCAACTCATTTTTCAACACTCATCGTTACTAGTGACAACTCATTTAAATTTATGAAAACAACAGGAGAACATTGAGTGCATCTGTTTCCAATGCACCCAAATAAACTGACCTTGTTCTAATAAAGAGGACGGTTAATGATCTGCCTTTTTCCACCATGCTATGAGAAACCATGATCTTATGCTCACTTGATGCAGTTCCTTCTTATCAAATTATACTTTCCACCGCACATTATGACAAATCCAGTGTCACAAAACTGCAGGAAATGGCCTCATCTCGTCAAATAACACTGTATTTCTTGTGACAGCTTCACAATAAAAGCCACTTTTCATTGTTAGCTAGCAGCAGCAGCAGGAAATGTTCATTCTGAATAAGCAAAATAAAAGTAATAAAAATAAGTGTAGCACAAACTCTTCATGCATGTGAAGGTGAATCCTGCACAGGGATGGCCGACTCCACCTTGAACAATGATGACTGCTATATTTGGCAACCACAGAAAATACATTGAAAGGCTGCCAGTAAGACAACTCTCACCATACCTGGTATTTAACTTGGTTAAATAATCTATGAAATTCTTTGTGATAATAATGTTTGAAATCTAATTGTGGGTGATCAGGGCTCAAATGAAGTCTGCATGCTTCATTAAAATTGTTTGAATACTAAATGTCCTTATATTGTACTATGTGGTATTTATCACCAGGGCAACACAGTGTTGCAGTTATTAGCACTGCATGTCACAGCAAGAGGGTACAAATCACATGTGCAGGTACTCTGACGTCCTCCCACAGTCCAAAGACATGGAAATGGAAATGATAATCTGTGCATGCGTGTGTGACAGACTGACAGACCTGCACCTCTTTATACATTCATGACACACACAGACAGCCGAGCAGATAGACGGACAAAGCAATGTAAACTGATACATTACAGCTTTCCACCCTACTACTACATACTCTCTGTGCTGTTATTGGCTGACTACACATCCAAAGATCACAGCCCAGAAACGACCTGAGCACCGCAAAGAAAAAAAAACATATGAAATCACCGTCAGAGGGCAGGGTCCCTGCTGATACTCTGCCACACACATCTAGGAGGTCGTCAGAGGTTATTTAGTGGGATTACTTTGTCTTACATTTTTTATGGAAAATCATCCAGAATACATTTTATATGAACTGCAAGTGCAGTAAAAAAATGCATAAAGACATCATGATAAGAATCTTCAATGATATAAATAACATTCAAATGCACTTACAAGTCTGTTTGTGCAACATCCATCTTTGGCTTTCTCTTTCTGATCCCAGACAACTTTTCATTTTTCCTTTCTAAAAACTCTCAACTAAAATTTTCTCAGCATCGCACAGACCGTCTCACCCTCCACACACTCAAGCTGTCTTCTAACTCTCACCTTCTCAACCCCCCACCCCCACAGAGCCGGAAGCAGGACATTCCCCGAGAGGAGCAGGGTCCATCGATAAAGAACCTGGACTTCTGGCCAAAACTCATCACTCTCATGGTGTCTGTTATCGACGAGGACCGGACGGCTTACACCCCAGTCATAAACCAGTATGTACCCCTTTACTGAACCATATGCTGTTTACTAAGAAATTGATTAGATACATAAAACTTCACCTAACTGGTTGTTATGCCAATACAATGATTTCCTTTCTCATACATTGTTGATCATTTGTTGATCCACAATTGTATACACTGTTTAAATTGTTAAACTTAATCTGAAATCCCATTGATAATGATAAGCTGATTGGACATTTTTGTGGTAGGGATTTGTGTTTTGGAATGAAAAATAGATTACAAGCTGATAATATCTACTCGACTCAACATTTATTTTATTTATTTTTTCTCAAAATGTATGTTATTCTCAATGCATTTATTCATTTATTTAGCCTATTATTAAGGTCAATTTTGACTTTAAGGGGGTAACAAATGAGCTCCTGTTTTATCTTAGTAGTTATGGACACGTGAGGAGTTCATTATTGTGCATGAGAATTGTGAGGCAGCCAGAGAATCCAGCACTTTGTATGCTGAGCCTCGGTATGAATGGATGAAAGGGAAACTCAGTGTTGCTGAATTACATAACAGATAGAGATTTGTTTGAGAAAAGAAACGGGGACAGAGGGCTGGTTGTTATATTGAGCTGAGATACAGTGTAGGTGCAAAGCATTTAAGCTTGTGTCCTTCAGATGATTAAGTTAATAAAATCAAATAAATTGTACAACGTGGTGAAAATGGAACTCGCCTTAGAAGAAAATAAAATGAAGCATATTTTTCTTTTGGCCTCACTCATGCACACACACATCCTCTCACACTTTCACATTCCCTCCTTGTTTTTCTTTTCTTTTTCCTCTTGCTGATGTATGATGCTTATTAAGACTTGTTTATGCCCTGAGCTCCCTCTCCTACACTGTCTAATGATAGATTTGCAATATTCATGTCCATTTCCTCCACATTCCCTTGTCCAGAGTGACAGAAAGTTTGATGCTTTTCCACAATGAACCCACGAGTGGAATTGGTTCCTTTTTAAATAATGGGAGCAGCTGCCAGAGAGAAAAAACGTTAGTCTATTGCTCTGTAATGTGAATGGTTACATAGGAATCTAGCCTGGAGATTTTCAAGGCAATAAACAACAGATCAACAGAATTTATTTTTTTAAATGGAAATGTAAAATTGGATGCTGCTGTTGTTGTTTTTAAAGTGTAGAGGATAAGAAGCTTTAGAGATTATTTCCAGAAATACACAAATAAACCGCAAAACATCATTTATTTTATCCAATTAAAATAGATTTGAAACCATCTACATGGCATGCACAGCAGCTGCAGATGTTACGTTCATTTTCGATATGAAGGTTTTGATTGTCTGCCTCGCCTACTGCATGTGGGCATGCGACGAGACTGAGGAGGAACGGAGGTGGAGAGATTCTGATTCTAAACTATTAGGCTGGGAGACTTTTTTCTCTCCTCCGGGATTCACTGGGAGCACAGATCCACCATCTAGTCTCAGTGTTTGTTCACTTGCTCCTCATAATAATGCATCACAGTGGGGCTTGGTTGAGGAAAGAGTTTGTGTGAACAGTACGTGTGTGTGTGCACACTTGGGCTCTGGTTTCTGCGGGAGGGTCCTTGCTGAGCAGATGATTACTGCCTCAATATGTATCAGCGGAGAAATGTGTTTGTTATTGGAAAACAATGCAGTCGCCCGCAAAAGTAAAACATTTCCAGATAGATTGAACTTTCTCAGTACAGGGTCAAGTCATCCATAAATGTCCTCCCATCATTGTCTAAAGACACAGATAATTAAACCATTGGCATCACGCATTCAAGCTTTGACTGAAAATCCATAGCCATTCAAAATAGCAGATTACTTACCAAATAGGTTGCCACCCTCTGTCTCCTTCCTTCGCTATGTCATTTCCTCCTGCACCGTTTCTCATTTCTAAACCAGGGCCCCCAGTCCACCCCAATTCAGCCAGGTGGAAATGACGGCTGGGATTATTAGATTATGAGATTCACCAAGCATGTCTTCTCGCACATCTGTTAAGTCGTTTGTAAGGATATTTCTGGCCTGGGCCGAGGCAATAGGCTGCCCAGCCGAGAGTGTCATTATACAGAAACGAGTCTGATTGGAATCCTTTTCAATTCCACCAGGTTTCCACAGGAGATGAGCGTGGGCAAGATCAGCGCCGAGATCATGTGGAACCTCTTCGCCCTGGATATGAAGTATGCAATGGAAGGTAAGTGAGGCTGCCAGTCAAACATCTGTATCTCCTGCATGAGGGTGTGAGAGCTGAAGATAAATTATATATTGGTTGATTTATTGATTGAATGATTGATAATAAAGAAATAATGGTTATCCCTTTACAAGAAGGTGCTCTACATTCTAATCTGATGCTCTCTGCCTTCGCTGCAACATCACTGGGGAATGTTGGACGTGTTAGTGTGTTGTACCTCTGTGTGTCTGAGCCCTGTTTATCAGCTGGTGTCACAGTGTTGTTTATCGGCTGCGTCTGACTGTGGTCAGCTCCACTGCCTATCGAGATTACACTTCCCTAATTTCACTCTATTGATCACGATAGAGAAACTCCTACATTTTCTTGTTCCTCTCCTTCAAGATAAACAATTCACAAGTCAGTGGCACAATCAGGAACAGACGGGATGTTGCGTTAGTGTGTTTATGTGTTTTTTTACCCATGTATTGCAAGCTTTTTCCCAATTAATATGAGAAACACAAAATTAAGATATGCTAGTTCTCTTATTGATGGAGAACGTGAGGGTTTAAGTGATTTACACTTCAGTAAATTTGAGTTAAACGTGTGGTAGTGATGACACAGTCGTGTCTCTCATATAAACACAGGACTAATGTGCAGCATTTTAAAACATGGCCATCAGAATGCAATGGTCGGTATAATTGGTCTGAACTGTTTGAAATATTGTTTTCAAAATTTAATCTAATAACCATTTCAGACATTCACATAATTTTGATGTCCTTGTTGTGGCCTAATAAAAGCAGGACTGACCTAAATATATTACAGTGTAAATGCAAAAAGGAAGGACCTACGATCTGCTATCTAACAAGGACCAAAACAATCAATACCTCTACTATCACCAAATACTTGTGTGTAAATCAGCATAGCAGTGATGTAGCGCCTGATTCAATAGAATTCAGTGGTAGTGTAAACTTCAATATATTAATATAGGTTGTGTCAACACAAGGCAATCTAATTTTTTTCCAAAGACAGCAGAGACTTGCAGTGATCAAGCAGTAAATCCCAGATCTGCTCTTCTAGCACATTTAATGTGGGGTTTGACTTCAGTCCCCACCCCCTCTTTCTCAATCTTACCTCCCAAAAGGCAGAAAAACCTTCAGGGGTTTATTGAACTATCTGCTTCTCTAGGTTGGAGGCTCCTGGATCAAACCCCACAGAGAAACAGGCTTGGAGGTGCAATGCAGAAGGGGATTAATGGTACTGGGGTTGTTGATGTTAAAATGGCTGTGCGTGTGTGGTGTGTACAGCGAGAGAGAACCCGGGGTAATGATTTGTTTGAATGTTTACTATGAAGTTTTACTCACTATTATGTGTCTAAACAGCCGTGAGGCTCTTTGAGCTTCATTATGCAGAAATCATGCAACATGACATCCATACATTATTCTCAAGTTTACCAAATTCAAGTGGAAAAGGTAGGATGTAAGAAAACATGGAACCAAATACGATTAACAATATCATTTCTTTGCGTTAAGGTTGTGCAAATCAATGTTATTCCTGTCCACCCTGAACCATTAACACTGCTCGACCCACAGTGGAGCTCAGTAATTCAGGATATTTAAAGCTTAATCAGGGGAGAACTCCATTTAATTCATATTAATTGTTTTAAAAGTTGTTAGGCGTGTTCGTTTTTTTCTTGTAAATTGCTTGAATCACATTACATCACAGGATGAAATGATGTGAGAGCAGAGGGGGCGATGAATCAGGTCATTTATGACAAACACAAACATTTCTGGACTAACACACACACACACACAGACTCTCAGGCACACATACTGCTGCCACTACATGTCTTTCGTCAAGTTACTTCTTGGTAATCTTGAGGACAACATGCTGCTCGAGAATAAGTCATGGCCCGATCTTTCAGAGTTGACAATAGTAGCAAACACAGAAGAAAAAAAAGATCAACACAAACTCTTGCAAGGCAGGGACACTGACTAAATCCAAAACACACTTTGGCAGTTCTTGGATAATGGCTTTCCTTGGCCTCCAGGACTCCATTGGGTTGTCACAGACGATTCTTCGCTGAATCTCCTCCATGTACTTGGTCATTATTTCCTGACCTGCTGCCTCCCAGGTTGGATATAAGATAGGAGTATCTCTCAGGGGAATATAGGGCACCGGTGAGGGAGTTGCAGTGGCTCTAGGGTGAAGAAGATTGCCATTCCCAACACAATTTTGGAAATCAGATCAAATATTTTTAACCACATATTCCACATTATGTTATGCTCTTATCTATTATTATCTCCCCACTATAGCATATATACTACTGCAATATGTTTCCATATTAATCTTTCCTCTTCCATGTTGAATGATGGGTGTGGTATTTGCTTCTTTAACGATGACAAAAGAGGTGGAGATGGTGCTGCAAGAGAAGCTGTGTTATCCGACTGAGGTCACAGATGGAAAAGCTTTTTCTACTGTGAGTGAGAGAAAAAGCAGAGCTTATTAGTTTGGTCCATTTTATAAATAAAGCAACAGGTCAGAACAGGAGTTATCTCAGGGCACATTTCATATAGAGCAGCTCTAGACCTCACACTGTAATATTATCGGTGATTTATCCTCATTTACCCGGCACATTCCCACTGCTCTCTCCATACCATATCATCTTGAGTTGCTATGGTAACCTGGTGCCAAGTGGAGACACTGCAATCTCCCGCATTTTGTTAAACTCACTGGGTGCATATACAGAGCGTATAGATTCTTTGCATGCAATATGATTCTATGTGCGATAGTGTATAATGTGATCTGCTGGCCAGATAAATGTACAGAATGCATATTGAGGATTAACTATAAAAATGTGCCCATGCATCAGATTTTTAAGAGACAGGTGTAGATTCCTATGTGTGGATTTTGCATTTCTGCAGTGAGGTAATGAGCAACCTTAGAGCAGCATGTCTGGATTATGTGAGCTGAGAGTCATAAGACTTCATTATTCCACGATTCAATTTGTGTCAATTTTTACATTTAAAATATTCTAGTGAAATGAATAGTGGTGTCTATGTGGAGTATTTACTGAAAACTAATGAAGCAGCAGTCTAAGCTATCAGAAACCTCTGCCTGGCACTGGTGGTGTTATCGAGTTATTCTCAGACTCTCTCAGCTTTCGGTGACAAATAGATTAATACTACTTGTTACCTCATTGCCTTCCTGTGCCCTAAAGAGAAAAATCATTTAAAAAGAGATTCTTCCAATGGTGACATCTTTACAGTATGTTTTAATACAAACCAGCACATTAAGTGGCATACTTTAGAGGTTGGAAGTAACCCAGAAATCTGGTTTGAGAAATTTCAATGAGCAAACTGTCAGGGACTTCTCTGATAATAAAGTGAATACCTCCAAAATGTGTTTAAAGCCAGAGTTGGAAGTTGTGTTATGTTTACTCTGAGTGTTGAGCTTCAGCTGCAACATGTAAGAATCTTCACGTCTTGTGCATCATGTGTTAAAGAGCAGATCTCAAGACCTGCCCAGAATCGCAATGGTAATTTCTCAGTGGCAATGAAAATAGAAATAATGAAATGATTTAATAAGTTAGGGTAGTTCTGTTTTTTCTACCACGGGAGACAGCTCAGCCAAACTAAAACAGTACTATACTTCTCCACAACAGATTTATTATTTTCAAAGCTTCTCTGCAGTTTGGCTCAACAAAGTAGTTTCATTTTAGTACAATAAGATCATCTGTCTTTGCACTGTGTTGAGGATTATACACGCAGTAAATCATGAGACGGAAAGAGGAGCTGTGTCTCTGTGTTTGTAGGTGTGTATATCTGAATCAGGCTGGTAGCTGAATTGTTGAGTTTGACAGCTCATAAACCACATAATGTTGTGGTGCAAACATAAATCAAAATAATATGCTTTACTAGATAGATTGTAAAACAACATGAAAAACCGGGGGTGAGTAGAAACTTTGAGACTGTCCTCTTGTAAAAGACAAAAATAAGATTCCTTAAGTGATGTGTGCAACAGCTCTCTCTACTGCCACTAGAGTTTCTGCTGTGTAATTGCAGTCATATGTTCATAGTCTTTCCATATTATGTTTTACTTAAAGGCTACTTAGTCACTGTTGGTTTTTGTATGTTCAAATATTTTTATAATATTGGTTATTGTTTTTTGCCGTGGTATCAAATTGGGTGTTGAGAATCGTGTTGGTATTGTATCAGTATCAACTGCAAAATATTTAGTATCGTGCCATCCCTAATTAGCATGGATGTGCATATTTGTGCGTTTGTGTGCGTGTGTGTTTTGATGATCTTTAGCGGAAAAGTGCACAAATGGCTACTGTACATGTGGGCAAGGTCACATTTGTGTTGTATGTATGCTGCACACACATGAAGCCCGCAGTGTGTATGTGGACGTTCCATCACATGTGCATTTACTGTATGTGCTTATACACAGTGAGTAATAATTAGGTGGTGTTTACATAAGAAGGCACAGAGAAGTGGCAGGGCGGCCGACAGAGACACCCTGAAGGAGGAGGGTTAAAATGGCCTGCTTTGTTGGTCTGTGTCTCTCCATTTGTGTGTGTGTGTATGTATCTGTGTGTGTGTGCGCATGTGTGTGTGCGCATGTGTGTGTGCCCATTTATGCAACGATCCATTTGTGCAAGCATTTGGTTGTGCAAGTAAGTAAGGAAGAATGAATGACAATAAAAAAGGAATGTGTGTGTGTGTGTGTGTGTATGTGTATGCACATTACTTAATGAAGTCTTTGATGCATCCTCTGCTTCCTGCTCTGAGGCCTTCGGTGCTTGTGCTGGTACAGAAATGGATGCTGCTAATTTTAGAGTCTCTGTGTGGATCTCTCAATGTGTGAGAGAGAGACACACAGAAGGAGGGAGTGAGGGAGGACACGAAAAGAGAAGAAGAAATGGGGTGTGTGTGTGAGATAGAGTGAATGAAGATGGCTGAAGCTAAACTCACTCTGTCATTCACTTATTCGCTTTTACCTACATGGAACTTTGGTTGTAAGGT